TTTTTTTTTTTNTAATTTATTTTGACGAAAAAAATGCTAAATAAATGAATTACTTATTTAATAATTTTATTATCTAAAATTAAATAATGTAATAAAATTATTAAAAATATTATCTTGAGATATTTTGGGAAGTCCAAATCAAATCGATGAGAGTTTATGTTCAAAGTAGACAATATCATATTATTACGAACCGTCGGTTACCTTTACAAGAAATGTTTTTTTTTTTTTTTTTTTTTTTTTTCTTGTCGTTTTTTGTATTTTGTTGTCTGAAGGGTAGCGGTAGAACGGACAAAGAAAAATGAAGGAAAAAGAGGGAAACAATTAGGAATACACCATTCGTACAATAATTCCTTGCAAAAATTTCTTCACATTCTCTGCAAATCTTCAGAAACCCCAGGTCTCAGTTGCTTTTCCATGATTTTGAATCATTTTGTGTATTAACGCCCCTTGTTTGTGGATTGGATCCTGACTGACGGATTATTACTTGCTTCCTTTAATCTTCTGAAAATTTAGCTCAATCCTAAATAGGCTTTGACGTTGATGCATTTTTTTTTTAATAGTTTTCACACAATTTGTTCTTCCGCTCTTGAATTTCGAGATTTTCTTCTTGAAATTCGGTAATTTTCCAATTCTTGCAGCGATTTGAGAGGATACAGAACTTTCCCCCGTTCATAGGAGAGATGAAGACGGGTTCAAAGTCGGAAGGACCTTCCGCTCCAGCGCCTCGACGGGACCCCTATGAGGTTTTAAGCGTGTCCAGGGATTCCACTGATCAGGACATCAAGACTGCTTATAGGAAGCTTGCTCTCAAGTAATTCCTCTTGCTCAACACTTCGTATTACTGAAATTTGATCGTCTTTAGTTTATATTTTATCGTAATTCTTGCTCCCCTTCAATAATGAATGGGAAGATGATGTATGCAAATGCCCAAGTTGAGACGTAAGAAGCTTATTAATCTGAGTTGGTCTAATTTCAAAGAACATAATGATTATTATGGTTAACTTGGTTGGACATTTTGTTTGAGGGTAATATCTGAAATATGGATGGAAGATGGAATTTTCTTTCTCTTCATCTTTTCAGCATGTTTGGAGCTCGAGTGGTGATTGAAATTCAGCTCTGTTATAGTTCAGCTAGGCTCTAGGTGCATTAACATTAAATTACAAATTGCTGCGAGTGGTTACAGAATACGATTTCAGCTAGGCTCTTGTTGTATTAATGTAAGAACCCAAATCAGTTGGGGAGGAGAACGAAACACCCTTTATAAGGGTGTGGAAACCTTTACCTAGCAGACGCATTTTAAAAACCTTGAGTGATAGCCCAAAGAGGACAATATTTGCTAGCGGTGGGCCTGAGCCGTTACAAATGGTATCAGAGTCAGACATCGGGCGATGTGCCAGCGAGGAGGCTAAGCCTGAAGGAGGGTGGACATGAGGCGGTGTGCCAGCAAGGACGCTGGGCCCCGAAGGGGGGGGGGGTGGATTGTGAGATCTCACATCAATTTGAGAGGAGAACGAAACAACCTTTATAAGGATGTGGAAACCTCTCCCTAGTAGATGCGTTTTAAAAACTTTGTGGGAAAGCCCGAAAGGGAAAACCCAAAGAGGACAATATCTGCTACCGAGGCCCCCTGCGCCGTCACAATTAAATTGAGTTACACATTTCAATTTCCTCCCTTCCACCTTCAAATTTTTATATAAAAAGAAACAAATTTGTTTTCATCTTTTAAACCATCTGTCTGCAAAGTGATTCTTACCCCCAAAAAATGTGGCAGATATCATCCAGACAAGAACGGAAGTAACCCTGAAGCTTCAGAACTTTTTAAGGAGGTCGCATATTCTTATAGCATCCTATCTGATCCAGAGAAGAGAAGGCAATATGACAGTGCTGGCTTTGAGGTGCTTGTCTCCTTGTCACCATCAACTTGTTATGATGCGTTGTTATGATACGTTGTTATGATATTTAAAGAGATGCTTCATTATTTTCAAATTCAAGATTTATATACTTTTGTAGGCCTTATGTGGCTTACACATATTTCCATCTCATACATAGTATTTTATTTTTCCCAATCAAAGCTTTCTCTGAGATTCAAATTGAGGTCAAGATTGTTAATTCACTCTTCCATTGTGTAATTAATGTGTTCAGGCCCTTGATGCTAGTGGCATGGATATGGAAATAGACTTGTCCAATCTTGGAACTGTCAATACCATGTTTGCAGCTTTGTTCAGGTGCACATTTATTGAGTTATTTACTGGTCTAGTCGTCTAGATTTTTCTTGATCACTTTTATTATTTATTTTTTAGTAAGCTGGGTGTTCCTATTAAGACTACAGTTTCTGCTAATGTTCTTGAAGAAGCTCTGAATGGAACTGTTACAGTCAGGCCTCTTCCTATTGGAACATCAGTTAGTGGCAAGGTGCATCATATATTGCTTACATCAAGATGGTAGAACAGCAGCAACATTTCCAGTATTTCTGATATCTTGTTATGTTTGTTTTATTATAGGTGGATAAGCAATGCGCTCACTTTTTTGGTGTGACAATTAACGAAGAGCAAGCTCAGGCAGGAATTGCTATCAGAGTTACTTCAACTTCACAAAGTAAATTCAAGGTGTAGTTTTTCCAGTAATTTTCATCCAAATGGTCTCTTCTGATATGTGCAAATTTTCTTGATTCTTGGTCTTGTTCTCCATGTGCATCCGCTTTGTAAGCCGTTTCATGTTACTGATTTCTGTGCTTATCCTTTTTTTATTCCAGCTGCTCTTTTTTGAACATGATGTCAGTGGCGGTTATAGTTTGGCCATACAGGTATCACCTTTCAAAGTGTATGTGTAATTTTCTCTATTTGTTAATTGATATAGATGAACTTGTGGGTACATTGCCCTGTTGATGGCAATGTCATTAACATCTAGTGTAGGTGTTATCATCAAACATGGCAGTTCTAGCATTTTCTTGCACATAACCAATTTATTTGAAGAAGCACTTAAACAAAAACTAGGCTTTCAATAGAATCTTTATAGAGATTGAGAGGCCTTGGGAGAATATGTGGTCCTTTGTTAGGTTGCATGCTTTTCTTTGGGTTTGGTGTAAATCCTATTGGTCTTATCTTGCTTAGTTGAAACCTTTTTTATGCTTTATTTTTGTATGCCTCGTATTTTCTTTCATTTGTTTCCAATTATAAAATTTTTTTTTAAAAAAAAAAAAAAACACAGAAAAAAACTAAATCTTACAATTTACCTTTTCCAAATTTGGTCAAATCTGTATGTCATTCTTATGGTTCTTGAGCACCACAGCAGAGTAATGGTGGAAGTTCTTGAGGAATCAAATTGTCCTTGTCACTAAGCAACTTATTTTATTTAAAATTGATTCATAATTTAAATGAGGTTATTTTATGAAGATAGCTAATGAAATTTAGAAGGAAGATGAATTGTTTATTCCTAAAGTTATTTAGTTGTCCTTGCCCCAAGTCTTTAATGCCAATTGTCCAATGAGCTTCTGTATGGCTATCTCTAAAGCTGGATGGATGAATTTTTTCTTGTTCAAAAAAAAAAAAAAAAAAAAAAAA